TTAAACCAAGATTTAGAATAATTATCATTTTGATCCATACATTAGTAATGTCTGACTGGGCCTCGTGTCACTTTATGTTCAACAAATTGGGCCCTGAGGTCAAAAAGGCTGAGAACCTCTGGACTAAAACACAATAAAACTGTACAAACTAATACTAAATCTAAAATCTTAACAGGCTAAATATCACAAATTTCACAGGTCTCATTACTCACTGCTCTCCATCGTCACCAATCTTCATTCGACATTAGCATATTTTCCTCAATTTATGCGTTTTTTTAACAAGCTGTTTATAAGCCTTAGGACAGCATGCGTTTTAAGCAATTACGGTAATTATTGTTACCTGGAGACAAAGTGGATGTCATCAGGGGAGAAGGCAACATTAAGAACCCAGGATCCATGTCCACTCAGCGTGCCGGCCAGGTTGGCATGTTGCCTATTATAGAGTAAAATGTTTTAATCATTTACCTTTTAATTAGTCCAACTGCTGTAAATATGCACATTTTATAATATATTCTTTGAATTTATTTTGATGAAAGTGTAATAAAGTAACATGAGAAGTAATGATCATCCACAGAATTGAGGCAGAACATCGTACACATCGTATATCTTGATGTAGCCGTCGTCAGAGGCTGTGACCAGCAGCTGTGAGTCTGGAGAGAAGGTGAGAGATCTGATGGGCATGGCGTGACCTGAGGAGACAGGAAACATGCTTTCAGCTTAAGAGTTCAGCTCTGACAAGGAAATCGATGGCCTTCAAACTCATCCATCCTTCAAATTCATTATCAAATAAATATTTCTATAAAAACAGAGAGAAATACAGTTGTAGGTAATTCTATCATTTAGTATCGTACGGATGTCGGACACTTTATCACTTTGCAACAATAAAAAAACATTCTAGCACCTCATCCTTGGTTAATAGAAAAATCTACCCATCCATTATCTATACCCGCTTCTTCCTTTGAGGGTCACAGTGTTCACTGGTACCATGTCCACACATCACTGTGCAAAGGGCAGGGTACACCCTGGACAAGTCTCAAGTCCATCACAGAGACACAGATGGAGACAAACGAGACAACCATTCACTCTGTCACTTACTACGTTTCCACTGCAAATGTGCGCAAAACTTTGTCGATATTCTGTTAATGTTGAAAAACACAGTTTCACAACTGCAGTGTTTCCATTAAGTAAGAAATGTTATTAAAGTCACGTGAATATGTTTGTTCTCATGATAAGTCATTACAAACATGGCAGCGATGGATGTAAACACATAGCATGTTGCTACCACGACACTAGCGNGGACTCATCACTGTACAGTTCTTTCATTGTCTGATGCCTTGACTTTTCAGAATTATGTTTTGTATAGTGCCATAGTTAACAGTGCCAACTATTAGCTGGATTATTTATTCTAACAAAGACAGAAATACGCTGGATCTGGATCTGGTCTCAGGTCCCTCTCTGAGGTCACCAGATGAACTTTGTTCAGACTCAGTTTCTTCCAGTGTTGTGAATCTGTTTTGAAGAAACACTGCTTCATTTCTCTGGCTGTTATCAGCTGTTTTGATTACAGCCTGTTGCTTTCTTCTCCTCGCTGGAGGAGAAAAAGCATTTCTCTGTAATTCTGGCCATTCGATGTCATCTAAGAGCTTAATCCTTCCTGAGAGATTTTTTTGGTCTGGCACAAAGAGAGTTCCATACAGTTTTACACCCTCAGAAGCAGTTTCCATCTCCTCTCCATGTTGATCTCTCCTCTCAGCCTTCTCACCCATTTTAACACATGTTGAGTTCTCCAAAGCATTCATCTCTTCCAGACGATGAATCTTGAGCTCCAACACGTCACCTTTTGGAGTAGCTGGCAGAAATCCTCTTTGGAAAAGTAAGGAGGCATCATGAAGCTTTTCTGTACTCACTCTCAGCAGATGATGTTTCAAAAATCTTCTCCGGTTCTTCAACAGCCAAAAATAAAAATTCAGTGTTCTTTGCTTATTCAAGATCATCCATCACAATCATCACCAGCGTATATCTGTTGTTAAAACAATTTACCATAAAAAGGTTCTTTTCATCCAGYTGGAGTCACGGTCCTGAGCAGTCCAGTCCTTGCTCACTMATATCAGTCCACCTGCAATGTGGCCTTGGTCCGTCGATCTCCTAGTGGTCACTGCGACAATGCCAAAAAATCTGTCGTGGCAATTAAGGACAGAAACACGTTGAAATAATGCCAAGAGAAAAAGTCTTGCATGTATGGTCGTAAAATTATTTATTTATGGGCAGACAAAGAACAGAAAACAATCAGGAAGTCTGTTGAATGTGGCCACCCATCATAAGATGGCAAACCAATGATTTACTCCCAGTTAACACCATGTGACAATGTACAACCAACCACAACCTGCCTCATGTTACTAACAGCCAATGACAGCTCTAAGCTCAAGGCAACACCATATCTTCACATGGAGAGAGGTCAGCCTGATGCTGAAGTCCTGACGTCTGGAACCACAGATTAAGAACCGGCATAAGTTATCACAAGATATGAACAGTGGACAGTGTCAAGGTGACACAGATATAATTAGTCCATGACAGTATTAATTTATATTTTCAGATCTTCCAAGGTGCCAATTATGGAACTCTCTGTGCATTGCTGCCCAAATCAAATTCTGGAAGTGGTCATTCAACTAGATCTGTTACAAAAGGACAACTGATATTACCAACTTTTAAAAACTGTTACGGCCAGAGGTCTTTCTTCTATGTTTATACTAAAGCATGGAATGACATTCCTCAAAACATAAAGTCCATTTCAAAACTACAGCCCTTTAAGAAGAATCTTGTCTGCCATCTGTTGGACACTTTTTGTTGTGCTCATATTTAGACGTCCTATTTTGCAAATGCTGCCTTCCTGAAATTTGGTATGCTTGTTTGTCTTTGTGTCTATGGTGTATAATGATGTGATTGTGATGCTGTATTTCTGAGTGTTTTATGTGCTGCAGAACAGGAACCTGCTGTAAAACAGCAATTATGCTGAGTCAGGCTTGATTTTTAGTAATCGTTTCCTGTTAAATCAATAAATAAATCAAATCAAATCAATACTAATGACAGTATTAAAATGGTTATGAAGAAGAAAAATTAGAAAAATAGAATTACTACAGATTTAATAGAGTAGAATAGTTATTGGAGAAAAGGCTCGCCACATGGCATCCTTTTTAAATTTACAGTTCGATTTTTCTATTTGTAGATCACTGTCATCTACCACCATCCAAATTTCAGCTGAATATGTCTACCATACCATACCAACTTTATTTGTAAAGCACTTTAAACACCAACAGGACCAAAGTGCTGCACACAGTCATAAAATACAATACAATCATAAAATAGAAAAATAAAAGTAGTAATCAAATAAAACAGATAAAAACACAACAAAACAAAGTCACACATCAAATATCCCCGATTGTGAAAAAAGCCAAAGAAAAAAGATGGGTCTTAAGAAGCGATTTAAAAACATCAAGGGAAGAGGCCTGTCTTATATCCAAAGGAAGGTCATTCCATAGTTTGGGAGCTGCCACAGAAAAAACATGGTCCCCTCTGAGCTTGAGCTTTGTCCTTGGCACACTCAAAAGCAACTGGTCAGGTGACCTAAGGGAACGGGAGGGCGTGTAGGGATGCAACAGCTCAGACAATTAGAAAGGTGCAAGCCCATTAAGAGCTTTAAAAACAAATAAAAGAATTTTAAAATGAATCCTAAAAGGTATTGGCAACCAGTGTAAAGAAGCTAAAACAGGGGAAATATGGTCAAATTTCCGTGTACCTGTTAAGAGACGAGCAGAAGATGGGGAAATGCACAAATCATTGACTCCTAAATAGAGAGCATTGCAGTAATCCAGCCGTGTGGTTACAATAGCATGGATTAATATTTCTAAGTGTTGTTTAGAGAGAATGGGTCTTACTTTGGCCAGCTGCCTTAAGTGAAAAAAGCTGGATTTAACAACAGCTCTAATGTGAGCTTCCAATCAGAATCCATTTTGACCCCTAGATTCGTGATGGTCGGTTTTACATTCTGTGCCAAACAGCCAGCATGGGTCATGGGATCTTTACTGGATCTACCAAAAAACAGCACCTCCAATTTATCATCATTAAGTTTCAGGAAATTTTGGGCCATCCAGGCCTTCAAATCTTCAAGACATAAAAACAGAGACTGAAGACAGGTGGAATCTATATTCTTCAGCGGTAAATAAATCTGCGTGTCATCCGCATAGCAATGAAAGGCAATCCCATGTTTCCTAAGAATAGAACCAAGAGGAAGGAGGTACAATAGAAAAAGAAGAGGGCCCAGAACCGAGCCCTGTGGAACACCACACAACAGTGGAGCAGAGGAGGACATATGGCCATCAAGACAGACAGAAAAAGTACGTTCGGCCAAATAAGATTTAAACCAATCCAGAGCCATATGACCAATGCCCACCCAGTTTTCCAAATGAGAATGTAATATTCCATGGTTAACTGTATCAAAAGCAGCTGATAAATCCAACAACACCAAAACAACACAGTCACCAGAATCAGTTGCTAAAAATATATCATTAAAAACTTTTAAAAGAGATGACTCTGTGCAATGGAATGGCTTAAATCAGACTGAAAAACCTCTAAAATATTGTGCTCAATAAGATAGACCATTAGCTGATAATGAACCACCTTCTCAAGAATTTTAGAAAGAAAAGGTAGTTTAGAGATAGGTCTATAATTTGCCAGAACATCAGGATCCAAAGTTGATTTTTTTAATTAATGGTTGGACAACTGCATGTTTCAAATTTACAGGAACAACACCTGAAGACAAACTGCTATTTACAAGAGTAAGAACTGAAAGACTCAAAGCAAAGAAAACCTCATAGCATCATCTGGAGAACCCGTTAGCTTTAAGTGGCTAACCACCTCATGCAAAGACTGCAGGGTCACACATTCAAAGCTGTGAAAAACTGCAGAACAAGGCACAAAAAGTAAAGGGTCGTGAGCAGAGGGTATGATCTTGGATCTAATAGAAGGGACTTTGTCAACAAAAAAGTGTAAAAAGCTTTCACACACAGCAGGTGAAGTCTCAATAAAATTACTATGTGAAGCATTGAAGACAGAGTAAATAGTTTTAAAGGGATCCCTGATCCGTTGCAACATTAGACTTTATTTGATAAACATTTATTTTAACTGTAGAATAAAGACTATAAAAATACTGTAGGATGTTTAGTTTTGTAAATTTTTAAAACTATATTTTAACATGGAAAGAGCCATTTTATTTCCACACAAAGCATTCTGGGTAAATGATGACGTGGATAGGTCCTCGGTGAGAGGCTGCTAGCGAGCTATATCCACCCTGAAGGTTAATCTTGGACAATATCTGATGATCGACTCTT